ATATTAGTTTCTTTAATTGTAAAGTGCTTAGAGGTGTTCAGTATGTTTAAGGAAACAAACAGGAAACAAAAACGGTGCACCACAGTTTAAAAGAAAAATTCACTTAGGTTTCTCTCAGGCAATTCTTATGCCAGTAGATGGAGCTTTTAACGGGAAAATCAGAAATCTCTCTATTTGCTCGGAAAAATGACTTAGGTTTTCTCTTAGCCAGTTCTTATACCAGTACATGGCAGTGTTGATCTAAAAATTGAGTTGCAAGGAGAAGCCTTTCAAACTGACTTAACTAAGGTAGTTTTTAGAGGCCCTTAGATTCTAATTTACTGCACAGAAAACTCTGAATTCCCCTTAATGAGTGCATACCAGTGATGAATTTGTATTCTTCATCCTCATTAAGACCAAAACCATACCTGTGAAAACCAATTAACCCTTGCTCCAGGGCCTTTTCATCAAAAACACACGTGAAGAAACCATAATGGGCATTTACAGAAACACAGTAGGATTCACATGGCTAAACCAAACCACAATTTAATAGTGACAAACCTGCCAGACAAGTTTGACAACAAAACTGAAAGTAAAGAGATAAGAAAGCCACTGACAAGGGTCAGGGAGCACTTCAATTCAAAGGCAGAAGTCCTTGATCCAGGAGTGTTTGTCTCGGAGCACAAAGGGCTTCTTTAGGCACCTATGCTCTGGGTCCATGGTCCCCCAGGCTTGTGGCTGTCAAGTTGATCCATTTCTGACACCAAAATTTTGTGGAGAAAATTTGAATGCTGTTTCAGAGTAAAACAGAAATGTTTATTAAGGGTTTCAAGAATGATTCAAATTGGGAACTGTGTAGCCCATCGAAATGAAACCACAAAGTCTGAGGCACAATAATTACACAAACAATGTTTTTATAGGATTTAGACAAAGAACAGAATTTACAATATTTGGAAGTTAGAGATTCGCTTTCTCACAGTGGGGCTCAGTGATCGGATTAAAGAATATTTGTGCTGACAGCTGGGTCAGCAGACCAGTGACAAGACAATAGAGCCTGTTACCATAGTCAGATAGCAAACAGGTTTTGCTAGGTATAGATTAGCTATCTTCAGACATAGACTCCCTGAGGTTGCATAAGGCAAGCATTTCTTAAAGACATTACACACAAATCAAATTGCATTGTTTTAACATAGTAAGCAAGACAAATTGAAAATAACTTACTTGTGACAACATATTTTCCGAGAACATCCCCACAATGGGTTTTCAGATAACTATTTGTGTCCCAACCCCTCTGAGAACAAGATGTGAGATGTGACATCCTGCATCTGCATGACTATAGGCTTTAGGGTACATTTCTTCCACATCCTGACATGGCAACAGAGGAAGAGGATTTTCCTGACTGCTTATGGTGGCTTAGCAAGATAAGGAGCCCAAAAAGTTAGGCATTGTTTAGAAGTCAATTTTGATTTTGCTGAATTTAGCAGGGGTCCAGGTTAGTTCAGTCATTTTTTACTTTGATCAAAAGTTTCAATAAAATTTTATTTGCCATTATCAAAACATGGCACATCACAGATGGGGCACCAGGACCTGTATTTTTTAAAAACACCTCAGGCTCCTCAGACGTTCAAGGAAATTTCAGTCAAGGAAAACATGACTCTTCTGGTGCATTGTGCTAAAGGTTCAAGGAGAACAAGTGGAGTTTGCTTTGAGGTATATGGTGTTCCTTTGTGGGTAGCACTTTTTCTGCCTAAGAAAATGGCCAATTCTCAGTCCTCATTTTACTTGACATGTATTCGATAGTTAGTCTGATTACATAAAAAAATTGTTCCTCAAATTGTAAGCAAGTGAAGAGGGCATGATGAAGTCAGCTAGTGCTGTACCTCAAGTCACAAGGAAAGTCTGGGATTTAATGTTTACGTTTGCAATATTGCCCGCTGTTACAGTGAGCATAGAAGGTAACTGAGATTAAAACATTATCTAATAATAAAAGGGCTTAGGTGTGGAACAATGCACCTCTGTTACTTTCCTTTCATTGGAAACTCTCACTACTTTCTTTTTTTTTTTTTTTTAATTGAGTTTTGGTGAAAGTTTACATAGCAATTTAGGTTCCCATTTAACAATTTCTATGCATATTGTTCAATTGCATTGGTTTCATTTTCCCACATTGAGTCAACATTCTCATTATTTCCATTCTGATTGTTCCATTTCCATTATTCTTCTTTCCTGCCCACCCTGACCTTCTCATCTTTGCATTAGAGTAAATATTGACCATTTGATCTCATATATATGACTGAGTTTTTGTTTGTTTATAAAAGGAGCACAGTACTCGCTCCCAGGAAATGTTGATTATTTTATAAGCCAATCTATTATTTAGCTGGAAGGTGACCTCCAGGTGTGGTTTCAATTCAAAGTTTAAAGGGCATCTCAGGGCAATAGTCTTGGGGGTAAGCATAGTCTCTGCCAGCCTAGTAAGTCTGGCCTTTTTTTTTTTTTTAAGAATTTGAGTTTTGTTCTACGATATTCTCCCATTCTATCCAGGACCATCTATTGTGGCCCTGGTCAAAATGGTCCACAGTGGTAGCTGGGCACCATCTAATTATTCTGGTTTCTGGATGGTTGAGGCCATGGTTGGTATAGGCAATTGGTCCTGTAGACTAGTTTTTCTTTGAGTCTGTGGTTTCCTTCTTTATCTTTTGCTCCAGTTGAGTAGAGACGAATAGCTGTATCTTAGATTGCTGCTTGCAAGCTTTTAAGATTCCAAACACTACTTACCCAACTAGAATGTAGAATATAAACTTTACAGACTAGTTGTGCCAGTAGACCAAGATGTCCCACAAACCTATGGTCCTACACCTTCAAACCTGGTAAACCAATCTTGTGAGGTGTTTATTTATGTCTGGGAGGTATTCATGATTGTGCCCTTTATGTGCTTTATTATATATATGAATATATGTACAGTATACACAAACATGTATATAGATATGCCTACAGATACACCTATATATGCTGACATATATACACACATGTTCCTTCTTATACATATTGAATAAACCAAAACCAAACCCATTGCCATCAAGTCAATTCTGACTCATAGCAACCCTATAGGACACAGTAGAACTGTCCCATATAGTTTTCAAGAAGCAGCTGGTGGATTTGAATGCTGAACTTTTGGTTAGCTGCCATTATAGCTCTTAACCATTGCACCACTGTGGGGATATGTGCCATTTAAACATGGCTGCACTATGGCTATGGTCATATTAATTGGCTGCAACCTTCACTCAGTATAACAACTTCTCAACTGACCAACTTATTTGAGACCCTTAAGGGTGACCCTGCTCTAACCTCTATGAGGACACTCTCTCCCCAGGCACGCCATGAATTAACACTTGTTAACCAAGCCATTAAGGAAAAATTTTTGACTCGTTTACAGATAAATCATCCTGTTTACCTTCTCCTATTAAATACTCCTCATAGTGTTACAGGCGTGCTCTGTCAATTTACTCCTGACTTCAGAGCACTTGAGTGGCTTTTTCTTCCTTATCACCCTCCACAACAGTTGTTTACACGCTTCTCTCAACGCATTAACTTATTGATGCAGGGACGCACTCGCTCTCAACAGCTCTTGGGTTCTGATCCTCATTTTATACCCTTTGGGGTAACGAAAACAGCTTTGACCATGCTCTTCTCAATTCTGAGGAGCTCCAGATTGCTTTGGCTGATGTTACTGGACAAATAATTTATTCTTATCCCACTTCAAAGCCACTCTCTACCCTCCAGCTTCTTCCTTTACAACATTCTACTATGCTCTCTCCTTCACCTCTTGCTAATGCTCCTACCGACTTTATAGACGGATCAGGAAAAACTGGAAAGGGAGTGGTCACTTGGCAGACGGACGGTGCTTGGCAGCATTTTATTACACAGAGAGCCTCCACTACACAGTGTGCTAAGTTGTTGGCAGCTGTTGCTGCCTTTGAAATTTTTAAATTAATGCCTTTCAATTTAATAGCTGATTCTGCTTATGTTGTTCACACTATTCAACATATTAGCGATGTAACTCTTCAATCTAGTTCTGATTATGAGTTGTTCATGTTATTTAAAAAGCTTCAAACCCTGCTTAATAACCGTTACTCTCCCTTTTTGTGGTACATGTGCGCTCCCATACACCCTTGCTGGGGCCCTTTCTGACGGCAATTCTCGTGTGGATTTACTTGCTGGGTCTACCTTTTCTACTGCACAAACTTCTCATAATTTCTTTCATCAAAATGCATAGGGACTTCAGAAACAATTTTCTATCTCTCTTACTGAAGCACAACAAATTGTTCGCACTTGTCCTGACTGCCAACGGTTTTCTCCCACGTCCTTTGCTACTGGCGTCAACCCACATGGTCTATTAGCCAATCAATTGTGGCAAATGGATGTAACACACTATCCTCCCTTTGGGAAACTTAAATATCTTCATGTGTCCATAGATACATGTTCTGGGTTTCTTTATGCTACAGCCCTTTCTGGAGAATGTTCTACTCATCCCTGTCGGCACTTCACCCAAGCCATTGCAACCATGGGATGTCCCCAAGTCCTTAAAACTGATAATGGTCCTCCATATACTTCTGCTAAATTTCAACAATTTTGTGCCACTTGGAATATTCTTCATACCACTGGCATTCCTTATAACCCTCAAGGTCAAGCCATAATTAAGTGTGCCCATCATACTCTCAAACAGCTTTTAAATAAACAAAAGGGGGGAGATGATGGGTCCAGACTATGTGACCAGAATGAAAGACTTGCCAAAGCTCTCTTTACTTTTAACTTTTTATCGGTTGCTAAAGATGGCGTTACTGCTGCAGAACGACATTTTATCCCCCCTGACACCCGACCTCGCCCACAGGTGCTCTATAAAGATCCTCAAAATCCCTCTGTCTGTCAAGGACCTGTAGAATTATTAACCTGGGGGCGAGGGTATGCGGCTGTTTTGTCTCTTACAGGTCCACTTTGGATTCCCGCTCGATTAGTATAACCATATCATGACCCAGCAACAGCCACCACCCTATCACTGGGATCCTCTGCATCTGCTACGGCTACCGGGGCCGCCAGCTGACCTAACTCCAGAACCACAACTGACACCAACGCCTCCTCCCCCGGGGAAGGGTAGTGAACAACAGAGCTCTGCTATACCGGTAACATGGGGAGGTTTGAAAGCCCTCTCCTCCAAAGCTGAGCAGGTCTTCTCGGCTACCGGTACCCTACTTACACCTGAAAACCTGTTTCTAGCTATGGTTTCTCTTGTGACTTTTAATTCTCAGCAGTCATCCAATGTCTCTACTCCCTGAAGATCTCCCATCACCAACAGAAGTCGGCCTTCTACGTGTGGACCATTCGCTATCAGTTACCTGAGCCAGAGACGGGAGAAATAAAGACCTCCTCTTAAGAAGGCCCTTCCTATGTTATTACTTTGCTAATCAGTAATTACCTGTATGTTACTATCTTGTTAATCAGTAATTATCTGATGAAAATTTGTTATGTGTAAATTCCTTATATTTTCTACCTCTTCTAGATTAGATGCCTCTGTATAGATAGGTTTCCAATTTAGATGATCCCCTTCCAATTAATAGTGAATTTGTGTAAATGTTTGTTTGATTGTTAAGAATCTTTGTGCCTTTAAGAATAATAATCTAGTGAATATTGAGTGATAGTGTTAAACTTGCAAGGGAATGACGGAAGAAAACCCATTGGTCCAACAATCAGGATGTGTTCAGTGCAAGGGTTTAAAATATTTCCTTTGTGCTAACCCTGTTCTGAGTGTTTGTCCTTTAAGCTAAATTGTTGCTGCACAGTGAGTCCATTTCAACACTGTGATTCATGATAGCCTCACTCTAGTTTAGAACCCTGGCAAAGAACCAGATGGTATCCGGTGGAAAACCAGCACCGTGAGTTTAAAGAGCCTGCCATGGCCGCCATCTAGGAGCTCAACTAAGTCCAGGTATTACTCATCGCTATGCTACTTCTCCTCCTTAAACATATGGAGGGTGCCTCAGCTGAAGCTGGGCTCACAAGGACTCACAAAAATTTTCTACACATCAGCCAGACCCTTGGGTGTAGAAACAATAGCCAAAATATTCTTGACAAGAAAATTTTACTTTATCCTAACGGGCATTTGTTGGACCAGTGAAAACCCACTTAATTCCTATTCCATTAGTTAAACAAAAGGGGGAAAATGTGGGGATATATGCCATTTAAACATGGCTGCACTATGACTAACTTCAGCCTTTCAAATGCCCATGCGCGGAACACGGTGAAACGTGTCAGCAATGACAACTTGTTTTTCCAAAACCTACTGTTCCTTTACTAATTGACTTGTTTACTCGAAACCCATTCTTTCTTGCCCAAAACTTCTTGTTATTCACCTAAAGCCCATTGTTCTGTGATTTGCTTCACTGCTTGCTGTATTGACTATAAACTCCTGGGACTGAAGTGGGGGTTGACTCCTCTGAGTGACCCTCCTTGGCCCCACTTCTCTGTAAGAGTTGTGGCTTTGGTTACTGTCTTTGCCCCTCTGACAATTGTCACAGCGCCGACACACCACCAGGGCTCCACATATTGAATAGAATATTGAATATATCATGGACTGCCAGAAGAGCAAGCAAATCTGTCTTGGAAGAAGTACAGCCAGAATACTCCTTAGAAGGGAGGATGGCGAGACTTTGTGTTATGCAGTTTGGACATGTTATCAGGAGGGATCAGTCCCTGGAGAAGGACAAGGTCAGCGAAAAAGAGGAAGACCTTCAATGAGATGGATTGACGTAGTGGCTTCAACAATGGGCTTAAATATTTGTGACGATGTTGCAGGACTGGGCAGTGTTTCGTTCTGTACGGTCGCTATGAGTAGAAACCACCTCCACGGCACCTAACAACAACAACAACCTTCCTATACATGTATATGCATACATATCTACCTATGTAACCACTCCTGTATTTTTTGGTTGTTACTGCTGTTGTTGCCAATTTGTATATGTTATAGCATTTACCAATAATGTCACTTATTCTCTTGTATTTCTTAGTGTCATCATTTTCCTTGGTTAAGTTGTGCTTGCTTCACCGATATTTGGTGTTGCCTTTTCCATCACCAAAACTAACAAGTGTCTGCTGTCTAGAGACACCACCTTCTTTTTGGGCAGATAATCAAAGTCTTTTCCCTCAGCTAAATTTTAATAGAAATAAGACATAATGAATATTCCAACTTATGAGATTTCAGTGTGAGAAGGGCAATAGCCGACCATCCTGAGCAAGCGCTGCCCTCAGTATGTAAACAGCATAAATCAGTGGCTAACCCAGTGTTACCAAGCCAACATCCTGCTCTGTGTACTTTCATGAAGAAATAAGATGCTATAATTAACCTGATATCTGAGAATATAACACAACATGGTTTCCAAAATGCTTAGAAAATGATTCTTAAGTAGACCAAACATTTCTCCTACAGTGTATCTTGTTTACACTAGCTATTGGCTTAGAAAGCCAGTCTCATCTGCTGTTTCTATGTTTTTAGAAAGCACAAAGGGAAGCCTAAGCCCTGGCCTTACCCCCAAATTCCAAACCCATGGATTCAAAAGAAGGAGCTTTTACTCCCCTGCAAATGCATGTGGGTTTCCAGGATGAAAAGTGACAAACTTGCAACGGTGAGACTATATCTTGAGTTTTAATAACCCCCACCACTCCCCAGCTTCCTGGCAAACATCATGACTGCTTTTTCATATTATTCATCATCCATGGGTCTTTCTTATCTCTTGTTCGCACACTGTGGTTAACGGGTACCAAATTTCCTGTCCCTGTCACTTACAAAGCTCAAGAACACTCAGGACACAGTTCTTCCACCAGGATGACCTCTTCCCAACTGTACTCAGAGGAACACCTCCCCCTGGCCCTCAGTCTCTGTCTGAAGGCACTCAGCGTTCTCTCACCTTGGGCCAGGATGCCCATGACATCGTCTCCTGCTTCTGGGTCTCTCCTGCCACTGCTTCTCATCATCTTCAGGTTTATAGCTTGCTTTCTCTGTCTCTCAGTCTTCTGTTTCCAGGAGATTCTCAGCACAGGGATCCCGGTTCTAAAGGATGTACTCTCCACTTGGCTGTTCTTCCTTGGTGATGATAGTATCCTTCTTCTGCTCTAGAATTGGCTCTCTTTTAAGGCAAAAACTGACCAATCCGCTTGGTGGACCACAATTATCTTATTTGCACAGCTCTGAACAATCGACTTGGTGGGAGTTAAAAGATCATGGCAAGAAAGGCCATACTAAGTAGTTCATCACAGCACAGAATGGGAAATGCCCAGTTCTGATGTGATTGTGTGTGTGTGTGTATGTGATTGTGTGTGTGTATGCATACCCGTGCATGTTTAGGAAGAGATCTTTCACAAACTGGATCACCATAGAATATTTCATGGAAGATGTACAGCTCTCATTTAAGCAAGGTTTGTGTTATCAATGCTTTGGAACATGGCACTTTTGTGTATCCCCTTCCTTCCACCTTCACACAAAAGTACCTTGTACAACAAGGCAAGTTCATACCTTCTGTGGTGTTCTTATATAGTAATCACATTTTTTGCATTTAAAATAAATTGTATATACATTTTACTAGTTGCTTGAACACTTAACACTAACAGATATTTAAGTATCGTCTAGAAATCTCATCCGCTTTGGTATCCTCAGAGACTCCATTCCATCAATTTTGTCTTCTTTCTCTTACTTTAGCCTCAGCCTCTTTCCTTTTATTTTTTCTTGCATCATCACTTAAATATTTGGAATCTTCTACCATAATATTCACATTTTCCTTCTCTCTTTCTGAGTGCTTATTCATCTTTCTTTTTGGCTCATCTCCCCCGACCCCCAACATCAAATAATAGTTTTCTTCATGATTCTTCCCTTCCCATTCAAACACTAAAACTCCCATAACTTAAAAATTGCCATCTGTGTATATGTTTTGATTCCCACATCTATGCCTCTATAGCTGCATTCACCTGCATATATATCATTACCTACAGTGCATCTCTAACTGACTACCTCTTAGGCACCTTGGTAGTATCCATCATCTACCAGAAACTGGCTCCTCCTCCTGAAATCCCTTCCTCAGTGTAAGGTAATATCATCACCAAACAATAACCTAGCTATCAACCTTAACTCCTTCTTTCTCATATCTCACATTTAATCAATAACTAAGTCCTGTTGATCTACCTCCTGAATGACTCTTGGATTCTTTTGCTTTTATGCAACACTGGCACACTATAGGAAACCCTGATGGTGTAGTGGTTAAGAGCTGTGGCTGCTAACCAAAAGGTCAGCAGTTCAAACCCACTAGGCACCCGCTGGAAACCCTGTGGGGCAGTTCTACTCTGTCCTGTAGGATCACTGTGAGTCGGAATCAACTAGACGGCAACGGGTTTGGTTTGGATCGGATCATGCTATAGGGTCACTTTTTGAGTTGGAATAGATGAGACAGCAACAGGTTTGGTTTTTTGATTTGCTCATGCTGCCTTAGTTCAGATCACCAGCCTTAAGTGCCTATATTTGCCAAACATTGTCCTAGGTGTTTGGGATATACCAGTGAATGAAAATAATTAAAAAAAAAGTTGCCCTGTGGAGTTACATTCTAATGGGGGAGATAAACAAAACATATAATACAAAAATACATACAGAAAGACAATACAATCCACACACTAGATAAGTAAAATATTGAAAATTAGAAGAAGGTAGCATTTCTATGGAAAAAATTTTAAAAAAAGAAAATAGAAAAGGTAAGGAAGATCTTGAATGTCCTGAGGGGTGGGAAGAGGGAGGAGACTAAAATATTAAATAGGAGTAAACTTCAGGGAATGCCTCACTAAGGCAGTGAGATTTGAGCTAAGACTTGAAGAAGGTAAGACAGTTAGTCACTTAAATATCTGAGAGAAGAAAATTCCTGGCAGACAGAGCAGCTACGGAAAAAAGTAGAGGGTCAGCAAGAAAGAGGAATACCCTCAATGAGATGGATTGACACAGTGGCTGCAATAATGGGCTCCAACATAACAATGATTGTGAGGATGGCAGAGGACTGGGCAGTGTTTCCTTCTGTTGTACACTGGGTCGATATGAGTCAGAACTGACTAAATAGCACCTAACAACAACAAAAACAACATGTGGTGGAAGCATGTCTTCAAGTTACAGCAAAGAAGTCAATGTGGCTAACAAGAAATCAATGGGAAACATAGAG